TTTCCTGGCTGAATGTAACAATATACAAGTTTAACGTTTCTTCTTTTCCTGGCTGAATGTAACAATAGGTAAGTTTAACATCTCTTCTTTTCCTGGCTGAATGTAACAATATGCAAGTTTTAACTGTCTCTCCTTTCCATGACTGAATGTAACAATATGTAAGTTTAACGTTTCTTCTTTTCCTGGCTGAATGTAACAATAGGTAAGTTTAACGTCTCTTCTTTTTCTGGCTGAATGTAACAATATGCAAGTTTTTAACTGTCTCTCCTTTCCATGACTGAATGTAACAATAGGTAAGTTTAACGTTTCTTCTTTTCCTGGCTGAATGTAACAATATGCAAGTTTTTAACTGTCTCTCCTTTTCATGACTGAATGTAACAATGTGCAAGTTTTTAACCGTCTCTCCATTCCGTGGCGGTATGTAACAATATGTAAGTTTAACGTCTCTTCTTTTCCTGGCTGAATGTAACAATATGCAAGTTTTTAACTGTCTCTCCTTTTCATGACTGAATGTAACAATGTGTAAGTTTTAACCGCCTCTTCTTTCCCTGGCTGAATTTAACAATGCGCAAGTTTTTAACCGTCTCTCCATTCCGTGGCGGTATGTAACAATATGCAAGTTACATTCAGTCACAGAGGGTGGAGTAACAATTTAAGACTGACTGTGATATACAAATTATCATCCACTCTTGCAGGAATGCACTTCTTTCGTTAGTGTTTCATTATTACACGAGTTTATCCTTATCTATAGTTTTTGGATGTAAACTTAAACGTAATTGTTCATTAATATTTGACAACATTATTTCATTGATTGTTCCTGGCATGTTAAGATTAGTTGAAAATGTTATTGTTAGTTTGCGATCCTGCCTCAAACATTTGAATGATAAGTTTTATTTTTTCTAAGAGTTATTTCTTAACATACGAAATTTAAAACTCGTTGACACAAGATTTTATTGACACATGACACCCTTATTAGTTGTAAAATAAAAAAAAAAATATCATAAAACTTTTCTTGATTTTTCACACATTATCCTTTCTTCCATCCATACACCCCCATTTATAATTATGACAGATACAAATACCTTCCCAATATTTTATGTATTACTTCTTTTTTAAATTTATTTTGAAGCACTGTTTTTACCTTGTACAAACCAATTTTAACTCCGAAGGCTGTGCTCTCGGTTAGACCTTCCATTTGGGATTTGGCTTCATGCCTCTGTATATATATAAAAAAACGATAATATTATAATAATATCTAAGAATTCATATCAGCTTTCTTACTAGTTTTTGTTATTAAAAAAACGATCCTCTCTAATGATTTAAGATTTTGCTGCAATTGCATGATACCTTTTTTTTTCAGGTTGTTTGTTTGTAATTAAGCACAAAGCTACACAATGGGCTATCTGTGCTCTGCCCACCACGGGAATCCTCAATAGCCGAGGCACTTGAAATTATTTTAGGCAGAA